CGTTGGAGGTCTGCTCAGTTGAGAGGAACCCGAGGAGGCTGCGAGCGTATGCGAATCGACAGTGGAATGTCGCGTGTGAGAAGGAGGCGAGTCGTCTCATGCGCGAATGGCAGAGGAGATGCGGGAGCTAGGGCACGGGCGAGGAGCGGTCGCGGGAGCTAGGGCGAGAGCGGCGAGGAGCGGTCGCGGGATCGAGCCGAGCGCAAGATGGGGAAATTAATCGTGCCAGGAGAATGGGAAATAAGTATTGGGATTTTATAAATATTATATAATTTAAAAAAAAAGAATAAAAATACTTAATTTTTTAAAGTATATATTAAAAAAATTTGATTTGCACATTTTAATTTGTGTGAAATAATTGCAAATTGGACACCCCTTTTAGGTAATTTCGACATTCCGGACACTCCGGCGCAGTCCGTTTCGCCTTCGGAAGTCGTTTTGACGAATTCGTCGATTTGCGTGTCAATTTTCTCGTGTCGAAAATATGGCAATATGGGTGTCCTTTCCTACCAAAATGGGTATCCCGGACGCGTTAGCGCGGTCCAATTTGTCGTCGGAGGTCATCCGGAGAAGTTCGCATTTTCGTTTGTCCTTTAGGCTTATTGGGCTTAACTGAAGTCCGATTTCGTGCAATTTCGTAAACTTTGTGTATTTGATGTGTGTATGTGACGAAAAAGGTCGTGACGATGTTTTCCTAAGGCTTGAAGTCTTATCAGGAACTCTTCCCTTGAGTCTTCGCAAAATAACCCATAACCGCTCGTTCATAAGACGACGGTCTTGTGCCAAAGATGCTAGACATCAAAGGAAAATAGAAATTGGCTAAAATTTCTAGAAGGGTGAGTCTCAATTCTAGTTTTCTAAGATGGTCAATAGGAATTTCTAGAGCTAGAATCTAGGCTCTAAGGAGGAGAAGACAAGACCTCACAAAAATGAGGTCAACACTTATGTGAAAGCTTGAATGAAGTGATTTTCTATAAGTGAGATGACATCGCATTGGGTTGGTGACCAAAAGAGTAGATGCATGGAAGCCAACTAGGTTTGGAAGTATAAGGCAATCTTGATGTTTTTGTAAATGAGGTAAAAAAACATTGAGAAAAGAGAGAATGGGGACAAAAAATAAAAGAAAAGAAGCGTATTTCCATAAGTTTAAACTATGATGGTGCCCTATTTGAAGAACTTCTGAATTGGATTTTTTTATGATTTTTTAAAATCTATTTTTAATATCTCCAAACTTAGCTCTCTCTTATTTGTCTTGTCAGACTTTAGGCTTCTCTTTTTCTTTATAAAGAAAGCATTTAGTTGTGTATGGGGGAAGAAATGCATGCATCCTTTTATTGCATGTCATTATTGTGGCTAATTTGTTAATGAATTGGATCCTCTCCACTCCCATAAACGTACTTAGGCTAAAACGTACTTACAATTTATTAAATTAATTCAAGTTTTATCATAACTGATAACAAGTTGACTCTTTCATAGCATGCTCTTTTCCAGCACTTAATCAATCTAATTAAACTAAATGATGAATTGAAATGTCATCCTGATAATTTTATATGGTATAAGATAGGATCACAAAAATCACATCTAAAAGAATTTTACCATTAAAAACTGTCTGGGTGACACTGCATCCATGAGAAACAAGCCCGCCGTGAAACTGCAAATGAGAGGAAATAACTTCATCTCCTATTAAATTGATCGGTGTCTTCAAGTTCTTATCTAAACCATCTTTCTCAGAAGTACTTTCAAAAAGCAAAGGCGACTTCAAGTTCAGATCATATCCACTTTGTGTGCCAAGGTCAAGGCTTGAGTATCTAGTTGAAGCACCTCTAAGAAATCCAAAGCTTGGGGATGCTGTAACTGTGTAAGAGTCGACACTTTGTCTAAAAGAACAAAAAATTGCATTAGAAATTTAACATAAAATTTTAATAATTGTTGATAACTATTAGCATCTCATGCACAGAGATAATTTCAAAAGAATCTGATTGCGTACATATATTAGTACAAATTAAGAAACAAAAAAAAGAAAAAGTAAACATAACATGTAAATGCATATGAGCAAGAAGATCTCAAAATTCATTTTCTTATTATCTAAGTCAACTACAACGACATCTGACATAAATAGACCATATTTATCATCATCATCATCAAACTTGTCCCAATTACATTGAATTGGATAAATAGTTTGCACAAATCCTTTTACACGTTTATTATTCATGGTCCATGCTACATTTTCTTTCAATCAATTTTTTTCCTAATACTTCAGCATTAAATTTATAAATTCAACTTGTCCTTGTGCGTGCTGACAACACCAATGCTAATTTTTTACCAACTTGTCGAGCTATCATCTATGGGTTACTCCCAAATCCCTAATATAATTATTTCTTAATCTATGCTTCTATTTTTTTCTAACAATCTCATTTATGCAACAATCAAGACAACCATTCGCAAGTCTATTATCACCAACTCTCAAATCCATAAGGTATAATATACTCTAAATTTTCACCATGATACTCTTTTAAATTATAATACGCGTATGATATTTCTTGATTTTAACCACCCAGCTATAAAACAAAAAACAATATCATTATTTATCCCCTTATTTTTTTATGATAAATCCAATATAGTTAACCTAATTAAAAATAAAAATTGCATTCACTTTTCATACTATTTCTTTCATATAATCCATTCCCGCCCACTAAAATCACAAATTATACTTGATCTGTGCTCTTTCAATCCAAAACCCCCTATCTTCTAAAGGTTTCAACTATTCTACAAATTTCCAACTTATTTTTTAAAACATAGTGGAACAAAATCATCTACAACAGCAAAATCTAAGGTATCTCAATATAAATATATTTAGTAAAATCTCCATAACAAATTCCCAAAATTGCATACTTAACAATGATTTTGTATGTGGTTCAATAATGATTAGAAAGCCTTTCCACAATCAACATAATTATTCTCATCCAAGAATAATTTTAATATTGATCAATACTCAATCGTGCGTATTATTAATCATTTGAGCATGCCCAACATCTTTTTCTCTAACACTAAATCAATTATTGTGATACTCAATCATATGCCATCCTAATATTTTAAAAAATATATTTTTCACCAATCACCTAGCATAAAAATCAATTTCAAGCATATTTTGTTGGAATAAAACCAATATGATTCTAAAGCGGGAGCTTGCTGGGCTGAACCAACCCACTTGGTTGAACCGGCCAAGGGTTCAAGTCCAGCGAGAGGCTGGACCGGCCACCTCTTCCTTTGAGCGGGACTTACCACCCAAGTCCCCCCTCCCTTCCTATTCTATCCCCCTTCTATTTTTATCCCCCCTTCCTATTCTACTGCCATCCAATTATATTCCTTCATGTTTTATCCCCTTACTATTATATTCCCTTCTTATTCTAATTGCTACAGTCTATTCTAAATATGATGTTTGTTTGTTGAAGAGGGAGTTTTGATTATCTCTAAGCTCAAATTTCTGCCTCAAGCATTTTCTCCTTCTGAGGGCTATATCTGACAGTGAGAAGATGTCCCGCCTGTAACTTGTCTGAGATGGTGCTTATCTCTGGTTATTCCTCCCCCTTTCCAACTGCCACCAGCCATGTCGCCGCTCCCTCCCGCATATTCCAGCCAGGTCGTTGCTCCCTCCAGCACATCACAATCAGGCCGTTGATCCCTCTAGCACATCCCAGCCAAGTCGTTGATCCCTCCAGCACATCCCGGTCATACTACTGATTCCTCCAGCACATTTTATCTAGGTTATTAGCCCCTCCACCACATCCCTGCCAGGTCGACGGTCCCTCCAGCCACGTCATTGGTCCTTCCAACTCCCTTCCAGCCATATCGCACTCCTTCCAGTCCTCACAGGACTGCCATGCTTCCCTCCAAACAATCTCAGACCTATCGTAACTCATCCCCAACCTTTCTAACTACTACAACACCCCACTCCAACTCTCTAGCCGTTGTCGCATCATCCTAAGCAGTCCATACGCCTGTTGACCCGCCAGTGTCTACCCCACTGCTCTCACCCTTAAGGACCATTTGTGTGCTTGTCTTTTTACATTAGGCCTGATGCATTCCTCCCCTTCAGCCATCCAGCTTGAATTTTACTAATAACATATTAATCAATATCACCATTACTTTGAGAAATACACCCGAGATATCTAAAACATTCACTCCTGATATTTGATCACTCATTGTTACAACTTTGTCACTAGATCTACAACCACAAAAATTACATTCTATGTATTCAATTTGAAATCTGCTCAAAGGATGACCTTTAGACTCTAATGTAGACCTCCATAATTAAAGTTTTCCTGAACTTTTTTTCAAATTTGATGTGTATCAAATATGCATGTTATTTTTAGGGTATATTTATTTATGTACTTTTATATTTTTCATGGTATTTGTGATTAATATGCAATGTACAAGTGATTAGACAATTTATAAATTAAATGAGATGAAACAAACTCAAAACAAGCTCAACCAAACTGAAACGAACTGCCAGGTCGCCCCCTTACCATACCTGGGAAACTCTGTGTCAATCCCGATTCCTATGCGCCATTCTTGGGCGTTTAGGCGCTAGGGGACAGATAAATTAGCACCCAAACGCCAATTCTGAGCATCTAGGGGCCCGGTGCCCTAGAACGCTAACCTGAGGAGGCGAAAAATAAGCACCGCGACTACAACGTCTAGGCCCAATGACTAGCGCCTAGGCACCAATTCAAGCAAATTGATGGTTGGGAGTGGTTCACAAAAGTAGTTTCGCAAATCTAATTCTTAAAAGCATCGGTTAACACATTAAGAGGGAAGATCCATAAAACTAGAGGCACAGAGAGACTTCAAAACCTTTGGGGAGAGTTTCACAATCTTGAGAGGTTCTGTAGTGGAAAATAGAGACAAATGAGAAGAGATCTTTGAGTAAATCAAAGTGTGTAATCGTGTTGTAAACTTCAGCATTTCATTTGAAGAGACGAAAGATAAGTTTGTAATGTTTTTGTATTTCAATTGAATTTTATCTGTTAACTTCGAGTTTATGATCTTTCTTTGAAAAAAATGTCATGTTGTAGCTTAAAAGTATGATTTATGAATACATTCTATTTTCTCCCTTGAATTGTGTCACGACCCGGCCTAAAGCTTGGAATTAATCAAAACGGAAACAGACGGTCGGACGATGTGAATTAAATTTTTTATATTCAGTTACTATTTAACAAATGAAAGAATCATTAATCAAAATAAATTAAAACAATATATCTAAATTTATGTCATTACTGATTGTCCACGTTTTTTAAACATGTTTTATCTTCTATCATTTATATTTAATCACTCAGACAACATGAAAAACTAGTTTAAAAATAATAGTAAGCTCAACAAACTACTAAATACTAATGCTCTTAAGCTACAACATAACAAGAGAAAAAGAATTAAAATGCATGTTAATTAATTTTTTTTAATAAAAGAATATAAATATTTAACATGTTATCAATGAATCATACTATATCAATAGTGTATCAATATCATTTTACATATACACAAGCAGCACAGGAGCACAGTCTAAAGATTATCAATTAAGACACATCAACATCAACATTCTTTTTCATATGCGAGCATGGGTATCAACAAGGGATAATTCCATCATAATCATTCATGCACACATAAGCAGTCAATAAATATATATCACTCATGTGTTCGTCGCATTTAATTCAATATACTATATAAATCATACACCAATACATGATATTAATAAGTTATAAGCATTCCTAACAATGTGACCAATAAAAGAAAATATGTATCAAAATAAAATTTGTGCAAATGTCATTATCTAATAATGCATAAAAATTTCGAGAATAACAAAAATATTACTATAGATTGAAAGTACGAGTATTCACCTCGATGATAAACGATTTGTTTACTCTTAACTTGTACTACTTCTATCAAATTATCACCTATAAAATATAAAACATTTATCACTTTATTTATTATATTTTAATTTGATTTTGAATTTCTATTGTATCACACTAATTTGATTAGCATTTCAATACTTTGACTTTAAATTTAATTATTGTAATCAAAATTTATATTAACTATTATTAAGTCTAAAAATATATATATAATTAGAATTATGATCTTAACATTTTTTTAGTGCTTAAATCAAATACATTTAAGTTTAATGCTTAAATAATGAACTTATGTACAATATTATATTAAAAATATAATATATATTTTTTATATTACTTATTACTAAACTTACATTTATCCTTTGTTCCCGCAAGTGAGCTCTTCTCAGCCAGTCTTCCTTCACAGAGCGGCAAACTTCTTCGTCCCTCCCAAAGCTAGCTCGGTCTTCTTACTTAGCACAAGTCGCTCCTCTCCGCACAGGATCACATGATCACGTGATCGGTACCTCCTTAGCGTGAGAGATACGCAGTCTCTGCTCAAACCCTCACGAGCATCCTTTTCTACGATTCCTTTTGCACTATTCTCCCTCCTTTTGCGCACAGGATCACACCAACGCCGGCCTCGTCGTTGCTCGACACCAACACCGAGACCTCCTGCCTCTCCTCTACTCCACGACGTTCCCTCCCGCACGAGACCGTAATGTCTCCTGCATCGTTCTACTCTCAAATAAGTTGATCTCACCTCTCCCTCCCTCAAGTGCATCCTTTTATAGAGTGAAAGTAACCTCTCGGCTTTCGACCTTCTAATTTCCCCTCCGTTCAATTTCCTGACACTTCATTTCAACTTCCAGACTCCTCGCTTCACGTGGTCGGTACCTCCTTAGCGTGAGAGATACGCAGCCTCTGCTCAAACCATCGCGAGCATCCTTTTCTATGATTCCTTTTGCACTATTCTCCCTCCTTTTGCGCACAGG